AGGACCCCCCACCGTGATGGGACCCTCCTTTCCCCCCCCCTTTAGGGGACACGGGGATGGGGGCACTGGGGACATGGACATCAGGGGACAAGGCAACACTGGGGACAAGGGCGTTGGGGACATCGGGGGCATGGACACTGGGGACAAGGGGACATGGTTTTGGGGTCACGGGGGTCACTCATTTGGGGTCATTTGGGGTCACTCAGGGACACGGTGGGACGAGGGGACRTGGAGACCAGGACACTAAGGGATGGTGGCTCCTGGGCACCAGGACAGGGACAACTGTGAGTCACGGAGCACGACCCGGGGACAAGGGGACAGACAGCGACCGCGGGGACCAGCCCTCTTGGGGACAACGGGGACAAGGGGGGGACAAAGGGGATGGGAAGGGACCTCACCCCGTTGTCCCCCTCCCTCAACAGAGCCACCAGGACATGGGGACACGAGTGCAAACTTTATAGTGGGGCACCCTGGGGTGCCATGTGGCACCCCGGGGTGCCGCAGGACACCCTGAGGTGCCGCAGGGTGACGTGGGCCACTCCTGGGGTGACATGGGGTGCCGGGGGCCACCCCGTGTCCATGTCCATCTAGGTGGTGCGGAGCTGGTAGTCTGGGGCGGGGGGAGCACGGAGGTGAGGGGGGTCTCATGTCCCACGGGGGGTCCCGGGGAGCCGGGGGTGCCCCGTGTCCCCGCGGGGGGGGCGCAGAGGGTCCCCGTCCCTGTCCCCGTCCCTCACCGCCGCTCTGTGTCACGTAGCGCACCCAGGGCAGCGCCTGGTAGCCGCTCTTCTCCATGATCTTCATGTAGCGGACCTGGGCACGGCCACCACGTGGGCGGACAGCGGCACCCCCAGGACCCCCCCAGACACCCCGGGACCCCCTAGTGCAGCGGGGACACGGCTGGGAACCCCCCTCAGGTGACCTGCAGGAGGCCCAGGGGACAAGATACTATGACATGGGTGGGCACTAGGACATAGAGCGGACACGGGGACATGGGGGGACACAGGGATGTAGGGAAGGATGCAGGAGGGGGGCACTGGGACACAGGGAGGGGACAGGGATGCAGGGGGGGGATGCAGGGATGGGGGGTGACACAGGGACATGGGGGGTGGACCCAGAGATGCAGGGGGACACACAGGGGACCCCAGGGGATATGAGGGATGTGGGGACACAGGGAGGGGACAAAGGGAGGCAGGTGACGTGCAAGGGACACGGTGGGGTGCAGGTGCCCCAGGGTACACACTGGGGACCCCAAGGGACACACAGGGGACACAGCAGGGGGCAGGAGCCCCAGGGGACCCGCAGGGGATATTCAGGGGTGCCCAGGGGACCCGCAGGGGATATTCAGGGGTGCCCAGGGGACCCGCAGGGGATATTCAGGGGGGCCCAGGGGACCTGTCGGGGACACCCAGAGCCCCAGGGGACCTGTTGGGGACATTCAGAGGGCCCCAGGGGATGTGCTGGGGTGCAGGAGCCCCAGGGGACCCGTTCAGGGCACCCCGGGGACGCGCCGGGGCCCCGCGGCGCACCTGGATGCCCGACACGGTGAAGTAGGGGATCTCGAAGCGCACGGCGATGGGCGGCCGCCCCTCGTCCTCGTGGCGCTGCACGCTCGGCAGCCCCAGGCGCGCGCGCAGCTCGTGCTCCCGGCCCCCCTGCGCCGCCGCCGTGAGCGCCAAGGGCCCCAGCGTCCGGGCCGGGGTGGACCGTGCCGCCCGCCCCCCCGCTCACCGGGAACGACTTGATGCTCCAGAGGATGACATTCCGCTCGGGAAGGTACTTGGCGGAGCCGGCGCTGGCACGGAACTTGGGCGAGTCGGCGTCGCTGGGCACCGGCACCGCGATCTCCACCCCCGTGGCCACCGACTGCTTCTTGAACTGGCCCTTGGCCTGGGGGACATTGGGACATTGTGGGGGGATGCRGGGGGGCGTGATGGGACAGGGGACACGGAGGTGGTGGACACCCACCTTGATCAGGATCTCCAGGCGGCTGTGCGAGAACTTCTCGATGACGGACTCAATCCAGATGAGCGGCTTCACCTTGGCACGGGCAGGAGTGTCCCTGTCCCTGTTCCCATCCGTGTCCCCATCCCCATCCCCATCATCCCATTCTCATCTTCATCTCTATCCCTGTCTCCATCCCCATTCTGTCCCCATCCCATCCCTGTCCCCATGCCCACCTCATCACAATCCCCATGCTGTCACTGCCCCTGTTCCCACCCTGTCCCCATCCCAATCCCCGTCCCCATTCCCATCCCCATGCTGTCCCCATCCCCATCTTATGCCCATCCCAATCCCTGTCCCCATCTTGTCCTTGTCCCCATCCTCATTCTGATCCCCATCCCCATTCTGTGCCTGTTCCCATCCCTATCCCCATGCCACCCCTGTCCCCACGCTGTCCCTGTCCCCATCCCCGTCCCCATCCCYGTCCCCACGCTGTGCCCATCCTGTCCCYGTCCCCATCCCGTCCCGGTGCCCGCGCGGCGCCGGGCGCACCGGGGTACTGAGGCGGTAGGCCATGAGCTCGAAGTKGCCGTCGGGCGGCACGAAGGCGATGGTTCGCTCGCGCTCGAAGCGCGCCAGCCGCACGCACTGGTGGAACTTCACGTCCTCCAGCTCCACGGAGCGGCCCCGGCCCCCTGTGCGCCGAGGGGACACGCGGGGACACGGCGCTGGGGACGGCACCGCGCGGGCCGCGCCGCCCGCCCCGCCGGCCCCGCCGCCACTCACGGCCCGTGAGCTCCGAGAGGACGCGGTCGTTGAGGCCCAGGCGCAGCTCCGGCATTCCYGACAGGAACACCTTGAGGCGGATGGAGCCCAGCACCTCGCTGAGCAGCACGGAGCCGCTGGCGCTCACCTGCGGTGTCACCAACAGTGTCCCCACGGCCCCAGTGTGGCCGCAGTGGCGCCCCCGGTGCCAGCCCTACCAGCAGGTTCACGGACTCCACCACGTCGATGAAGACCTCGTTCTTCTTGTACTTGATGCCCTCGGAGCGCCAGGACACGGCGTTGGTGACGGTGGTGGGGACGCGCGAGCGGCCCGTGTCCAGCTTGTTGCCCTCCTGGGTGATGTACCTGGGTGACAGGGAGGTGACAAAGGTCCCGGCGTGTCCCCCTTCCCGCCGCCGCGTCCCCACTCACTCCTGCAGGATCTTGCTGTCCGTGGTCTGCGGGAAGCCAAAGTCCATGAGCTCGTCGAGCAGCTCGTAGATGATGACAAAGTTGTCACGGACACTCTCCTCCTCCAGCTCCTTGAAGTACTCGCAGAAAACCTGCCGGTGGCAGCGGGGACAGGGGGTCTCCGATGTCCCTGGTTTCTCCCCATCCATCCCCGCGTCCGTCTGTCCATCCTTGCGTCCCCCATCTGTTCACACAACTCCCCTGTCCATCCCCACGTCCCCCTCATCTTTCCCCGCTTCCCCCGTCCATCCCTGCGTCCTCCCGTCCATCCCCATATTCCCCTGTCCATCCCCATGTCCCTCTTTGAGTCCCCGCATCCCCGTCCATCCCCATGTCCCACTTGTCCATCCCTGCATCCCCCCATCCGTCCCTGCATCCTCCATCCGTCCCCATCTATCCCCATGTCCCCCCCATCCACCTCTATGTCCTCCCATCCGTCCCTGTGTTCCCCCCATCCATCCCCCTGTCCCCCTCATAAATCCCCACGTCCCCGTCTCACCTCGACCACCTTGTAGAGGAAGGCGAAGACGAGCGCRGCGTTGCCGTTCTTCCTGGTGACGGCCACCACTGGCACGGCGGGGCTAAGGAAAAGCAGGATCCGGAGGCGGGGGGCTCCCGGCGTTCCGCGGCATTCCCGGTGCAAGGATACGGTAGAGGTTGGCGTGCTTGATCCAGAGGAAGTGGAGGGGGCCCTGGGCCAGCAGCGGCTCCGCGCCGCCCTCCTCCTCGCGCTGCAGCAGCAGCGTCATGAAGGCCTCGATGTCGCCCGCGCTCACGTCCCCCTTGTAGTTGCGGCTGATCAGGGGCTGGGGGGGACACACAGGGTGACGAGGGGGGCGCGGGGCACCCCCCTCCCCAGCCCACCCGGACGCCTGGGCCCAC